TTTTACATTTTAGATTCATATTTATATTTTATATTTTGCGTTACCATAGTCCAGCAAAAAAATTTAGAAGTATAAATGTAATATGAATAAAATTCATAAAAATATATATTTAATCTCAACTCTCATTATGAGTCAAAATATTAAAACAATTTGTGAAACTACATATGAGCTATTGCAATTTCCGATATGCCAACACTTAGTCACATATGTTCTATAGGGGATGTCAGCAGGAAAGGATGATTATATATATAGCCAGCATATATGGAATATGTCCAATTTTATACAGTTTATATATTTATTGATGCTATTCTTGGAAACGTTTGCTCTATATTATTATTTAATATGACTAATAAAGTAAATGATTTAACCAGAGAAAGTAATACAATTAATAGTTTAAGATTCTTTCGTCAATAATATGACGAAAATATAACTTAAGATAAATGTATGACATTTGCTTGAGAAACTCAAATGAACTCAGTGATCTGTGCTGACATCGCAGTTAACATGAAAACGAACAGATCATTCAAGAGATGCCAACCAATTGAATCAGAGAAGCTCACTTGATCTCTGACATGATCGCGGCATGTTCGCTGATTACGTGGCAAGATGTGAAGATCTTAGATATCTCATATGCAGAGCAACCGCTAATTTATTAAGCATATTTTCCGCTCACTCAACAGGCGATTAGATTATGTAAACGGCGTCACGCTCCGTACAGACGAGCTGCATGCCTCAGCGAACGATCAACGCCCAGGCAGACGCCTAGATCCCAAGACAAACTCTTTGACTAAATGTGGCAAGAAGTGCGTGCCACATGCAAAGTGAGACAGTGAAATAAACAAAAGCCGTTGATGACCAGCTGAGTGCAGGCCTCCGCCGTCGACTGCGGCTCTGGTTGCCAGGCACAGGCTGTATGCCAACGGCAGGCAACTTTCACTTGGTCACGGTCATGGTCAGGGGCTCTGCTCTGGTACATTACCCGGGTCCAGTTATCGCATTTCATAGCCCCGATGCTCAATGCTCGATGCTCGATGCCCGCATAGGAAGTCTCTGTTTATCTTGTGCAATTTGTTATGGCATTTGAATTTGAAAACGAAATGAAAACGGAGACCAKCCAGCGACCAACTGACTGACTGACTGAGGCGATTATGGCTCAAATTCTTGCCAACGTCATCGTCGTATATGTGTAAACATACAAACATATATATTGATATATATATACATACTTACAAGCATGTATGAAAAGAGAGGGCGCAATAATAACAGGAAGAGGCAGCAGAATAACAAATCGGGTCTGCACATATGCGATAAATGCGAACCGATGATCGCTATTCGGGACCTTGACAGCTCAGGCAAAATACACATACATATATAGATATATATATATATGAATACATATATACATGTATTTACCCTTGCCGATAAGCAGCTACTGTTTATACGAAACGGAAATCATCAAAACAGTCAACTGTACACATTTATCTGGGAGCCTGTGTAGAGTCAACTCAACTCAAATAGCTTCGATTAGACATATTAATAAGTGAATCACTACTGTAAATATTCATATAGAAAGGATTGACATATCTTGATATGATTGTGATTTTGAGAAAGAGATACTTAAATACTTGAACTATTAGATATATGTATATAAAATGGATTGACATATCTTTGTATGATTCTGATCTTGAGAATGAGATACTAAATGCTTCAACTGTTATATATATGTATGGCTCTGATCTTCAGAAAGAGAGACTTAAATATTTAAACTGTCAGAAATCAGAAATCACAACTGAGTTGAAAAAGATATCATTGTAGATCTACAAAATTATATCTTGAATAAAATACAAAAAAACATTTGAAGCCAAACAAAGGCTTTTATATATAGATGTCCAATCAACGCACACAGTCATAAAATGGGGCTGTGAATATGTCGTATGTATTTGAATATAGAAATACCAATTATAATTTATAAATAAATATGTATATGAGCTCTCTTATGGCTATCTTAATATTAAACACTTCAACATATTAAATAGACAGTTGAATAAATAAAATGTATTCTCCTGCATTTAGGATTGTTAAAATATCATATAAAGAAAACTTAAAAACTAATAATCTAATAATTATAATCTATA